GAAAAATGGACGATGGCAAAATTTAAAATTTCTGTGCATCAAAGAACACAATCAACAGAGTAAAAAGTCATCCTACAGAATGGGAGAAAATACAAATCAGACCAGAGTTCACAACCAGAATATTTAAGGAACTCCTACAATTTAACAACAACAAAAAAATCAAACAACCCAATTTAAAAATGGACAAAGGACTTGACTAGGTATTTCCCCAAGGAGGGTATAAAAATAGCAACAAGCATATGAAAAGATGCTCAATATCACTAATAACTAGAGAAATGCAAATGAAAACCACAATGAGATATCACCTCCTGCCAGTCAGGTTAGCCATTATCAAAAAACAAAAATAAATAAATAAATAAATAAATAAATAAATAAATAAATAAATAAATAAATAAATAAAATAAAATAAAATAAAATAAAATAAAATAAAATAAAATAAAAAAGCAAGTGTTGCTGAAGTTGTGGAGAAATTGGAACCCTAGTGCACTGTTGGTGAGAATGTAAAATGGTGCAGCCACTGTGGTGAACAGCATGAAGGACACCCAAAAAATTAAAAATAGAATCACCATATGACCGAGCAACTCTGCTTCTGGGTATATACCAACGAATTGAAAGCACGGTCTCAAAGAGGTATCCGCACACCCATGTTCACAGCAACATTATTCACAATAGCCAAGAAGTGGACGCAACCCAAGTGTTCATCAAAGGATGAAGGATAAACAAAATGTGGTCTACCCACACAATGGAATATTATTCAGCCTTAAAAAGGGATAAGTTCTATCACATGCTACGATGCGGATGAACCTTGAAGACATTACACCAAGTGAAATAAGCCAGACTCAGCAGGACAAATACTGTATGATTCCTCTTATACGAGGTACTTAGAGTTGTCAGATCCATAGAGATGGAAAGCAGAATGGTGGGTTCCAGGGTTGGGTGAAGCAGGGAATGAGGGGCTGTTTCAGTTTCGCAAGATGAAAAAAAATTGGACGTGAAGATATGAAGAGACTTACCAGCACTGAACTGTACATTTTAATGGATAACGTGGTGAATTTTATTTTTTTAAGATTTATTATTTATTCATGATAGACACAGAGAGAGAGAGAAAGAGAGAGAGGCAGAGACACAGGCAGAGGGAGAAGCAGGCTCCATGCAAGGAGACTGATGTGGGACTCAATCCTGGGTTTCCAGGATCACACCCTGGGCTGCAGGCGGCACTAAACCGCTGCACCACCGGGACTGCCCGTGAATTTTTAATTATGTGTATTTTGCCACAATTCAGAATGGTTTTGGAAAGGCTGTCTCACCACCTTTCAGCTCTAATGCTGATGGTGGCTAGTGCAGCTGTCCTGGGAGGCGGTCAGGACCTGGACTGTAGCAGAGTGTTGCTCTCATCTTTCTAAGACACAGCTGACCTTTTCTTTCTCTAGGTTTTCTGTCAAGGACAGAAAAATAATGAGAGAGAGAGAGGGAGAGGGAGAGAGAGAGAGAGAGTCTGTGTGTGTGTTGCATTCAGCAAACTATAGAGTTCTGTCCAGATGGACAATTTCTTCTTAAATGAGGCCTGTAAACACAGTTCTGGTTTTCACACCCATTACCTTCTGCAGCTCACAGTAACCACAAAGGGGAAAGGGTGGATTGCATCACATCCGTTTGACGTGGGTTTAGACCCGGGTTTCTCCATCTCAGCACTGTTGACATTTGGGGCGGGAGGATTCTTGGTTACGGGGGGCTGCCTTGTGCAGTGTAGGATATTTAGCAGCATCCCTGGCTTCTAACCACTAGATGCTAGTGGCACCCTACACACACACACTCCCAGTTGTGACCATCAAAAATGTGTACAGATACTGCCAGGTGTCCCCTTGGGGAACAAAATCACCCCTATTTAAGAACCATCAGGTTGAGGGTTTGCGTGAGGAGTGGGAATAGGGACAGCTCCCAGACTATCAGCCCCAGGACACTTTCCTCTGTCTCCCGTTTGTTTGAGCCCTGTGTGCCTTTGTACCTAGATATTTCTTTCATTTATTTCCAGTTACACCTTCTTGACTGGGCCGTCTGTCCTGCCTGAACCAGTAAATCAAAATTTAGGACAGGAACTCAAACTGGCCCCTTGAACACACTGCAGATACTTAGGGACAACTTGGCTTCCAGCAGGCTTCCTGCTGCCTGCGTCTCTGAAGGAGCCCTCCTCTCTCCAAAACCTCCTTATCCAGCATCTCTAATGCTCTGAGGGCATTCTCTCTCCACCTTGGGTTATTTCTGTCCTGTCTTATTGCTTCCACTGCACTTGGGGATTTGGGAGGGAAAAAGGAGGGGACTGTTTTTCATCCCACTCACATGAAAATGAAATTAGTTTTGGGATCATTTCCCTTTTGTCTTTACTACTTGCATAAGAAACTTATTGAAATATTTAGAACATTTTTTTAGAACGTTCATAGATTGTTTTAGAAGAACCTGTGAAACTTTGAGTTTTCAGAATCTCCCTAGAGGTTTTAGTTTCTTAGGGAAGGACTCTGGGCATGATGTGCTGCGGGACTGGGTGGTGTTTACTCCCAGCTAGTAGGAGCAACTGGCTCATGGCATTTGTCAAAGCTCCTCAAGAGCCAAGCAGGAGGCTTTTCTTCATCTAACAGAGCTCTTTGGGTGTTCTTGGGCCTTGAGGTGGCAATCTTCGGGGGTGTCTTTGGAACTCAATAGCACCACACATCAAACCACTGTCCACTTGGTGGCAAGTAAGATTACTGAGTACTGTATGCCTCTGGACCTAGATCTTTCCTTCTTTTATTTCCAGTTAGACCTTTTTTTTTTTTTTTTCCAGTTAGACCTTCTTGACTGGGCCATCTGTCCTGCCTGTTTGAACCAGTAAATCAAAATTTAGGACAGGAACTCAAACTGGCCACTTGAACACACTGCAGCTACTTAGGGGACAACCTGCCTTCCAGCAGGCTTTCCTGCTGCCTGCGCCTCTGCCATGCCCTGGCACACACCTGGACCCTAACTCCATCCTGGTTGCTCTCCTAAAGGTTGCTGCCTTTACCCCACCCCCCAACATGCCTGCCACAGATGTCTTCCTCGTGCACATGTGAGTATGTCACTCCCCAGTTTAATATCCTTCAGTCACCCTGAATCACATTCAAAAAAAAAAATTGTCCAACTCCTTGGCAAGGCCAGTCAGAGTCTGAATCGGAAGCGTCTGACCCTTTGCTCTCATCTCTAGCCATGACAAAATACTCCTGTGCAGGGCTCTCGCGTGCTGCTGAGCCAGACCCTCTCGGCCCAACCCACGTGGACTTGCGGAATGCTACATCCTTCTGATGGCTGGCGTTCTTGCTTCCACCTCCAGGATGGGGCGTGCAGGCCGACAAGGGCAGTGCCTTGTCCCTGGTGGATTCCCCTGCCCCGTGCTTTGCACACAGTGGGCATCGCACCAATGTCTGCTGAGCGACTGATGCGCGACACGCAGCAGGAGCTACAACACGAGGATGCCCGAGGCACAGACATGCCTCCGAGAAGACCCTCGGCTCCCTTAGAGCCTCATGGTCACACACAGGTGCAGAGCGACTCCTTTCTGATACGGATGTACCCTAGCATGTGCTTTATTTTAAAACTGAAGCGTAACTAAGTTAACGGAGGACACTCTTCTACACCCCCTGTTGTTGTTGTTGTTGTTTTAACTATTTGTGTTTGAGCAACGATGAACCCACTTAAAACCGCCTCTCGTGCACAAGCGGCCGTTCACCTGCCGACACCCGCCTGCAGACGGGGATTCAGACACCTGCGGGCAGCACTTACTTTCAGGACCTCCCACGACACTCCTCACTTTAGATCTTTTCCTTCTCCTTCTTCTGTTAGCCCTCCCGTCGCGGCGAAGAACAAAATAACCGAAAATGCTTGGCCTAGCAACTTTCCAGAGCGAAAACCCGGTCGGTGCCCAACCGGGCGCAACGATCCCCAAGCGCCCGCGGAAGATCCAGCCGGGCCCCCGGGGCGGCAGGGGCGTGGCCGCGCCCGGCACCCGAGAGCCCGTCCAGGCCCAGCGCCTCGTCGCCCTACACGTTTCTGGGCGACGAGCCTCCACGCCTCCCAGGAGCGGTCCCCGGAGTTTCTGCCACCAGACAGGCTGCGGAAGTAGCTCATCAAAGAGTCGCCCTCCTTCCCCGGGAGAGCGCCGGTGCCCAGAGCGGCGAGCGCGGAGAGGGGCGTCACGTGACGCCCTGGTCACGAGGCAGAGGCCTCCTCACGTGGTTTACGATCGAGCCAAAGCGGAGAGTAAACTCAAACCCCATTGGCGCAGCGGGAGCCTGACCTGCGGGGCGGGGCCAGACGTGGGAGGAGACGGAGGGGCGCGGGGCGGGGCTGGGCGGGGCCTCCGGCGCCGTGTGGGCGGGGCCTTCGGCCGGGGGCGGGGCCGGCAGGGGCCCTGCGAAACCGCCGCTCGCGCGGCCGCGGGCCTCCGCATCCCGTCCTGTGCGCCGGCGCGCGGGCGCCTGGGAGCCTGGCTAGCGCGGCGGCGGCGGCGGCGGCGGCGGCGGCGGCGGCGAGGTCGGGAGGCCTCCGGTCGCGCCTGCCCACGTCCCAACCGGCTGCAGAAGTTGCTGCCGTCCGTTTCAAGCGTGCCTGTTGCACGCCTGGCTCGCCCCCTGCTGTCTCCGTCCCGCGCCCGCTTCCCAGCCTGGGCTCGGCTCTCCCGGCCGCCCTGTCGCCGCCGCGGCGCAGCGGCACCGCCGACAAGGCCCGGGGAGCGGGAGCCGGAGCGCGGCGCGGCGCGGCGCGGGGAGGAGGGCCGCGGGGGCGGGGCCGCGCGCGGGGGCGGGGCCTCGGGGGGGAGCGTTGGGGCACGTGAGGGCGCGTCGGCCAATGGCGAGCGGCCGGGGAGCCGGGGGGGCGGGGCTGGCGCGGGGGCGGGGCGGGGGCGGCGAGCCGGGGCCGGGGCCTGGGCCGGGGGGAGGGGCGGGGCGGGCCGGGGGAGGGGCGGAGAGACGCCGCCGCCGCCGCTGCCGCCGCTGCCGCCGCCGCCGCCGCCGCGGCTGCCGCAGCCTGTGGGAGCCTGGAGAAGGGGAAGTGCGAGCGAGCGAGCGAGCGACTCAGTCCCCGGGCGGCGGCGGCGGCGGCGGCGGCGGCCGGGGCGGGGGCGGGGGCGCTGCTGCTGCTGCTGCTGCTGCTGCTGCTGCCGCGGGGCGCAGGCGGCGGCGGTCCGCACCAGCCATGCCGAATAAAAACAAGAAGGAGAAAGTGAGTCCGGGCCCGGGCCGCCGGCCGCCTGGGGAGGGGCAGGGGCCGCGCGGGGCGGGGTCCCAGGGCGCGGGGGCGCCGCCCGGGGCTGGGGGGTCGCGACTGCCCGGGCGGGCGTGCGGGGCGGGGCGGGGCGGGGGGGGGGGCGCGCGGGGCGCGGGCGGGGGCAGGTGCGGCCGGAGGTGGTTGGCCCGGGCGGGGGCGGGCGGGGCCTGACGGCTGCGGGCTCCCGGAGGGACCCCGGGCCGGAGGAGGGGAGCCCATGGACGCCGCTCCCCGCTGCGGTGGAGACCTGCCTCCTCCCCGGGGGGACGCTCTGAAATACTCTTCTCATCCCGGGTGGCGGCGGTGATGGCTGTGAGTGTGCTGCGTTGCACTTGCGGGTGGGGGTACGTTGCTGCTCCAGGTGGAGCCCGGGGGGCCAGCGTGTCGGGGTTTAGGGTGGGAGGCCAGAGAGGGGTGCGCCGGGGACCCCGCAGAACGCCGGGAGCGCCGCAGTGTGCGCCCGTCTGCTCCTGCCTGAAGTTTCCAACGCCAAACACGGATCGAGCAAACAGGGAGGGCCTGAATCTGGGCGGGGGAGTCGCATCGCAGTGGTGTGCCTCCAGCCGGAGGGAGTCGGGGTTCCTCGGCGGTGCCGATTAAAGTGGCCAGGAGCGCCGGTTAAACAGCGCGAATCCGTTTTCAGAGCTGCACTTTGGTCCGTCTGATGGGTCCCGATGGGTTTCCAGGCGCCTGAAAACCGAGAAGCCTAACTGATTTGCTTGATGTTTCCCAGGAATCACCAAAAGCAGGGAAAAGTGGAAAAAGTTCAAAAGAAGGACAAGACGTAATAGACTCAGAGGTAACTGCTCTCCGATATTCCCTTTCCTTTTTTTTTTTTTTTTTTTTCCTTTCCTCCCTCCTCGTGAACACGTTTTAACTAAGGGCAGAAGCAAAACGGTGTGGTGGAAACCAGGCTCTTCTAGAACGTTTCCCTGCATGAGTTTTTCCTCGTAGTCTTCTTCCCCATGACCTGAAACGGTAGTTCTTTCAGTTTGTATTATTTCGGTCTGGGAAAAGAGAGATGGAAGTTGTAATCTGGGCTGGTATGAAGCTCCTAACCCCCAACCCCAATCTAGCAGCCCTCCTGCAGAGACTGGTTGCACCACTGTTGTTCACGCTCCTTTTAGCTTTCAGACCCTCCCCTTCCTTCCTTCACAAGCCGCCAGGTCAGGTCCGTCCCTCTCCGTGGCTCCTCCTTCCAGCACCTTTGCTACCCTGGTGCGGTCTTTGCTGCTTCAGTCTCACACGGGCTCCTCTGTCCATGTCCGATTCCCAGAGCCTCTTTCCCCAGTAGTGTTGGTACCTTTCTGTTTACCATCTTCCCTCCTCTTTTCACTTGCTTTTTTTTTTTCCTCTCTCCATTGGCCAGTTCTGACTTCTTTCCCTTCTCACCTGTGGGCTCAGTGAGGACTGTGTCGACCTAGTGGGGTTGATGTCATTGTTTGGCACAGTTGTGCTTTGAGAATATTTGCAGAGCCAGCACTTTGCCTTTTCTTCCTTGGGAGTAGTTGTTGAACCAGAACCTCAGGCTAAGGATTCTGGAGCCGTCTGGACCCAGGCAGAGCTGAGAGGCCCTTTTGGATCATTGCTAGCGGAGAATTGCTTGATTGTCTCGTTCCCCAGAGCTGGATCATCGAGGTCCCTGGTCTTATCACAGATGACATTAATTTGCAAGTGTCAGACTCCTTCTTATAAGTCGAATTAGAATGAGTTCAGAGTTGTCTGGGAAACACAGTTAACTGCTGATTATAGGCAGTAGCCTTTTTTTTTTTTTTTCTTAACCCGGCGGGGGGGGGGGGTGTATCTTTTCCTTATCATTTGGTGCATTCCAAGCCTCCGTCCTCTTGAGCAGGTGGTCTGTTCCAGCAAATCTGTCACCCTCCCCAAAGCAAAAAGGCAGAAATCCAAAAGGTTCCTTAAATATCAGTAGTTGGGGATTATCCATGCCAGTCTTTCCCTGCCCTTTATTTAGCACATAATCACGTTTTACTGTGGTATTCCTGCTTTTGACTTGCTTCCTTCCGTGTCACTTTTTTGACTACATTGATTTAAATGAAATTTGGCCACCCCGCGAGGGTGTATTTTCTTGTTTACTGATATTTCACTAAAACTGCTAAGGCTCCCAGCCCTCCCCCAAACCTTTCTTGCTTACGTACCTGTCTCTTCTCACTGCTGGTGCGACAAAGAATATCAGTGTATGGCTCATTTATTCTTGTTGTAGCAGAGAGAACGTGACTATAAGGATGAATGATTTTGAGTCTGAACCTCAAAAATCCATCAGTTAACTCAGAGATAATGAAACCGCTAATAATTAGAATGCGTGTTTTTAAGGTGGATTGGGTTCCTAGACTGTCAGATGCTTAAGACTCTTGAGGTGTGGCCTGCAGTGCCTGAGTGTGATGCCCCACTTGTCTTTTTGTATTTTTTCTAGTGCTACTAAGAGCTGGAGCTACAGAGCTTGAAATTACCACCGAAAAATACTGAAATGGTGGGCCCTTCACTACTTCCTCATAAGGATCCCAGAGGCAACATGGCATGTTAAGCATGACAGTTGGCAGGTCACTGTGTAAATTATTTTTGCGGGAACACAAATTGAGGCACTTGAATTCATATGAACTTTGGGTTGAGCCTGGTTTTTTGTTTTGTTTTGTTTTGTTTTTAATTGTTTCCCTCCTCAGCCTTCATCTCACTTCATATCTGGTTCCACTCAGTGATCAAATACGATTGACCCACTCAGGTGCATGAAACCCTCATTGGGCACTCTTTCCCTCTCCTGTCAACGTTACTCTGAACATGAATATTTTAACCTGAACAATTCAAATAGGACTGCTATTCCCGTGCTGCTTTTCAGACCTGTTCAATGTCACGCTACTTTCACAGCTGGCTCTCCCTCGGCTCCGCCCATGAACTCACCTGTGTGAGAGCAGTTACCATATTCAGGGCTTCCCAGCCCGAGGGCCACACAGAACAGGTGTCCATCCAGGGCAGAGTAGCCAGGCTTTTGGGAAATCACCCCAACAGAGAAAAACAGAACAGAACCTGGCCTGTGGTGGTTTGACCTAACACACCACTTCAAGAATGGGAAAGTCCTTGTACTAAAATTCTGGCTGGCTGTAACCTAGCCTGTGGAAAACGAAGAAACGAGTGGCTTACACTGCAGAACGCTCTTTTCTTAAAAGACAGCCTGGGGAGGTTAGTCGGAAGGATGAGGGGCAGGTGTTTTCACCTGGGGATTAGGTAGTAAAAATGCTGACTCCTGATTGCCACTAAGTGATGTCACCTGGCTTCTGTGGCCCTCGTACCTCACCTTTAAAAATATGGTGAGTCTCAGATTTGGCCATTTTTAACTATATGGGATAGATGAGGCATGGCCCCTCTTGAAAGAAAGGAATTTTCCCTGCAGGATGTGGGGCAGAGAATATCTTCTGCTGTAACAAAATGCTATTAAAGGTCATAGCTGCTGCTGTGCACGCTTTTCTAGAAATTTCTTGCTTCCTTGAATGACGTGTATCGGTATGTTTTGTTTTGTTTTATTCTCTTCTCTTTCAAGTAGGATGTTTAAATTTGACTTACCCACATGTGTCCTGGAAACAAAAGTTTGCCCAGTCCTAATGGGTCTATTTCATGACACGCTTCTGGGGAGTGAGGCCGCAGGTGGGCTCCTGGGGAACGGGAAGTTGGAGAACTCAGCTCTGAGCACCTGTTCTCACTGTAACCTTCAGAGCTGTGCAAACATAACTAGGCACGCTTTATCAATATCCAGAATCTTAATAAATCGCTCAGGTTTGTAAAGTCCGTTTTGGAAGATCAGACCATGCCACAGTAATTTTTTTGTGTAGTTGCTTTAATTTGTATACTGTGTCCAGTTTGCTTTTAAAAGTGTTAATAGTCTTTGTAAAGTGATTTGTTTTAAGCACATTAAAGGTTGTTTTGAGTGTTGTTCTCTGGTCACGAATTTTATGTCCTGCTTCAGCTTAGCTTTGTTTGAAAGTCTCTACAGCAACTCGTACATCTGTTGTTTGAAACTTGAATGGTCCTCTCCCCAACTTGTTAGCTTATCTTGACATGTTCTACTTTTAGTAATGACATTTTTCTCTCTATGATCTGTCCCTTTGCCTCTCCTCCAACCCACCTTGGTGTTGCAGAGAGCAGGGGCCAGGCTTACTGAAGTCCCATAGGTGTAGCTGGTAGACTTATGTCTCAGAAATTAAAACTGAAATTTCAATAATAGTAATTCATCTAACAACAACACCCATTACATGGTAACGTAGATAACATTTTTGTGAAGAGTATCTTTTTAAGAAAATTGGACTTTGTAGTCTCGGCTGTGTAGCAGGAATTTTAACTTGAGTGCCGGAGGACAGTGGAAGTGGTTTGTTGGTTGGTGTGTTTCCTGGGGAGGCAGCTGTGAGCATCACCTCCTGCGATGAGAGTCCCCAACTCCTCTTCCCTATAACACCAAAGCCACGGTCTACAGGCTGAATTCTGAGCCCGGGCTGTTGCGGGGCTGGGGGCTTTGCCGCCACATTCATTGCCCATCATTCTCTTCCCACTTTTTCTCCACACAACCCTAAACCGGACTCCAGTGAAACTCAGGACCCAAAGAACCAGTACTTTAAGATTTTTTTTTTTCAATTCCTAAGTAACTATTACATATAGGGGTAGAATTTCCTGCTTTTGATCACCACGCCTTGGCCCACTTTCCCAGCCACGCTGCATCGTCTTTGCTTAGAGTCCTGGTGTTCAGGACAGAGGCTCTGCAGAGGGGATAATCAGCAGTGGATTGGAGGGCATGTGAGTTAGCAGATTCTGTGAGCTTCCCATCCCTTTCCAGGGCTCGCTCCTCCATATGACAAGCAGGGCGCTGGGCAGACCCTGAAGTGCCTCCCAGGTGAGATCTGCTCTACTGAACAGGCACTCCATTCAGGGCTGTTGATACATGTTCCAGATGCTTCCCGCAGGGCTGCCCTGCAGACTGTGCACTGGCGGAGGTTTGCCAGCACTCTCGGCCCTCCCTACCCTCCAGTTTTGACAACCCACAGTGCCTCCAGACATTCCCAGACATCTGGAGGGCAAAAGAGCCCCCGGTAAGACCACTGCCCTAGGAAAACGCCTCCACAGAGGATGTACGTTCACTTGCAAATCATGCCTGACACACATTCCTCCTTTAGAATAGCAATGTTCAAACCAAAAGAGCATCAGCACCCCTTGTTACACTCTTAAAAATTAGGACCCCGAAGAGCTTTTATTTAGGTCAACTTTAGCTGATAACTTTTCTTACTAGAAATTAAAACAAATTCTAAGAATATTCATGAATTCATCTAATGGCAACACACCCAGTACATGTTGACATAACAGCATGTTTTTACGAGAACTAACCATTCACAAAAATTCTCTGAGAAATTCTCTGTTTTGAGAATTGTGCCTTGTAGCCTGTGAAAAATTGGCATAATGATGGTTATAAAGGCAAATCATGTCTTTGTGTTGTAAAAGCACGGACCCTAGAAAGTGTCTCCAGGAGCCCCCAGGGCCCCCCAGGCCTTGTTTTGTTGAACGCCCTTTACATGTTCATTATCCCCCTTACTCCGTTTGTCGTCTGAGTTCCAGCTCAGGTTCATTTATTCTGAAATCTAAAGGAAGCTTTTCTCACCATCTTGGCCCATGTTTTTTCCATTTTTTAAATTCGAATAACAGTTATTGGCTCTACCGGTCACTTATCATTTATACTGCCTTGGACAACTTTTGTTTATCTAGATCTGCCTCCCTAACTAGATTAAGCACTCGAGGACAGCAATTTAG